GCGAAATCAGTTAACCGAGATTTAACGTCTGCCAAATGAACGACGGTGAGAGTCTCTTCATGAGAGATCTGACTATAGATATAAAATTTTAAGATTTAATTTATTTTTGAAGAGCTTAAAGCGCGAGGGGAAGATTTATTTCAAATATTTTAATAATAAAAGTGGATAGAATATATTTCTTAATGGCAGGACGCGTAACAGGAATTTCACGTAATTTCTTTATCCTTTCGGTAAATTCGATCAAATTTTTTTGAAATTATATTTTAAATATACATTATACACTTATTGCACACAATTTAGTAATAATAAAATTATTCTTAATTATTAATATAATATTTTAAATACTTATATCCTTTAAACTTGAAATAAATTGATTGATTAATTATAAATATTTAATTTTTGTGTGTACATATTTATTTTCATCTAGAAAAACAATAGCTTCCGCGATTTCGTGAATTAAAAATTATCTACATTCTCGAAAAGTCACATTAAAGAAAAGTTTTACTAAAATATCTAAAAATTTAGCTAGTTATAAATCTGATAATAGTATTGTTTGGATCATCGAAATAATTATCTATAGATTGATTGTTAAAACTTCTATATCATTATTATCAACATTCAAGCGTTCTGCATAATTTTAATGAACCAACACAACTATTTTCAGATCTGTATTTAACTCTATCTCGTAGTTAATTACAGATCTAATCTATATCTAATTACAAATGTAATTATTATGCAACACTATATATTATGTTACATTTACATTGTCAAATGCAAAATTATAACATAAATGTTACTTTCAGTTGGTATTGACTGTGTAAATTTTTATATACTTTAATAAAATCTTCGGCATTGAGAATAGCAGTTTTATTAACTTGGATTTCGCGAATCACTGACACGTAAAAGTATAATTATGATCTATCGAATTCTTTGCGATTAAAACCGATCTATATGTGAAGTATAGTAGTTATCGCACGCGTAATTACGCGGGATCCGTTTTTCACGAAATTCCTGTTCGCGCGAACGATCGCGAGACACGCATGAATAAATCCTCGTGCGTCAGAAGAAGAGAACACGCGGAGAACACGAAATGAGATTGGCCGTTATGCTAATTCTCTTTGCAGCGTCGCGTTAACGTGCCTTTATGCTTTCTCGGGTTGGCGGCATATTCCTAAAAAAAAAACTTTACGGCCATTTCCTTTTTCCGCCACACCGCGCCATGGCGTAAACGGAGATGTGGCGCCATGCCAGAACGTTCTCGAGATCGTCCTGCTCGCTCGTCCGGGTAATCCTGGATTTTTCCTTGCAAATAATCACGCCTGGCAAAACTTACTTGAGCTGCTCTCGCCACGGATTTTTCACGAGTGAAAAATGAAGACGAAAAATTGAAATAGTATATGACAAGCGAGGGTGGGAGAGAACTTGGCAATCGAATCAGTAATAGGAATGAGAAATCGACTGACGAATCTGCGCGACAGCGAAATTGTGAGGAAAATATACGTATAAGCGAGAAAACTCGAATATAAAAGAGCATTCATGGTACAATCTTGATAATGTTTGATGATTAAATTTAGTTTGAATGATTTCTTCAATTCGTGAATATAAAAAAAGATCGTAAAAATCACTTAAGATATCCACAGTCGGAACTTCATATATATTGTAAAAAAGTATATGTAAAATTATATAATTTATGATAGAAATGTACATATAAAAAATATTATTTATATCTTCATATTAAAAAGAAAATTATAATAATAATCGCACATATTTTATCGTTTTTAAAAAATTTATAAATTTTTGTAATATTATATAACATTGCATTTTTACGTTTATACATATATGTCATTAATAATTTAAAAAATTGTATATAATTCGTTAAATATTATTATATACAAATATTTCCATAAACTTAACTTTAATTGTATATTTATTTTGCAAGTTGCTTAAAATTGCTATAAAGAAGTATAATTTTTTGTAAATTGTAACTTTACTTTATATGTATAAACATATACTTTTATAACAGTAAATCCAAAAATTAAACTATAATTATTATATATATTA